AATTCACTGTTAGCTGGCACTTAGGCATGTCAAAGCACAGATTGTTTGTGCTGCTACATTTGGCATTCCTCAATACTATCCCAATCAAATTGTACTCTAACTTGCATCGATTACCATATCATTGCATTGGAATTACCATAACAGAAAATTTTGATAAAAGGTTGAAACTTCTAAACCTTTACCGGGAATGGAGTGGCGCTGAACCACTGGCAAACTCGCGCTTCACCATGATGTATCCATTCCGTAATAATTTTCCACGAACCCATTTTTTGCACAAATGGAAAGTTTCATTGTAATCCAATGTCCTAAAGAAGGCTCGATTTTCGACACTTCTTGTTGATTAACATGGACACCTCAACTTATTCCCATACCAAGTAAAACTGGGATTAACCCAACTGGGCAAAACTGTTATAAAACGCCTCCCAAATACCGTGCAGGAAATCTTGTCCTTAATATCCCATTGACCCCTCGACCTCTAAGTACATCCAAATCGCGATTATTTGCCATTTTTTTCTACCTATTAACAATGTGTTTATCAAGGGTAAAATTATATGTAATTTGCATTAGTCGATTGAAGCTGCTATTGCTGAAAATCAATATTTATCTGATCCCACTCCTACTAATCGTTCTTCCTGGAAACTAAAGGAAGCAATGCTTCTTAAAAGACACAAGCAAGCAGAGATATTCTGGAGACAGAAGGCTAACATTAAATGGTTACAAGAGGGAGATGCAAACACTACTTTCTTCTACAATTATGTCAGAATGAAAAGAAAATTTCAACATATCTCTACCATTCAAGCAGCAGATGGAACATGGCTACAGGATTCGAAGGACATAGGAAAGGAAGCTATGGCTTTGATGGATTCTTCTTTCGTTCTTGTTGGGAGATTGTGAAGTGGGATGTGTGCAGTGCAGTGAAGGAATTCTTCTTGGGTATTCCTATCCCTAAAGACTTCAGCAAAGCTATGATAATACTCCTAAATGATACTAGTTTCTTAATCTTAACCATTGATCATTTGAAGGAAATTTCAAATCTAATTTACTATTTTCATTCTATCTTGCACAGGGATTTCTTAATCAATATTAATAGAAAACAATTAGAACATTTTCCCTAATTTACCTAGAGTGATGAATTCTCTCTTAATTACACAAGTATCTCCATATAGTACCCATTATGTCCAATTAATCATTGCCTATTATCCACGAATGAATAATGTGAATGAAAAATCAAAACATAAGGATCCCCACACAAGACAGCTTAGTAATTTCAAGTTAAAGGATCGCTTATACAACCATCACTTGCGTATTCCATAAACGCTAATAACTCTCCATATGGAATTCTCATGCACGTCAATTCAGTGGACTTGTTCAAATAACAAGTACCTACATATTAGTTTTAGATGTCACATATATCTCAGCTTATGAGAACAGCTGATTCCCTTCACAAAGGAAAGAACATAATATATATCAATCTCAGCAGCTCTAATCATCGTCCATTAATGAGGAAAATATTGAGTAGGAATATTTAGAAACATTGTTTTAATGCAAAATAAAAATCATAATTATAACTATATTATAATTTATTTCGCAAAGCAATATTGTCTCATAGGCTTTATCTTTTATCGAGATTTTTTCAGTAGAATATAAAAGATAAATAAATTCTTTATATTAATAATTAAATATTTTATTATATGAAATATTATATTTAAAATATAACCAATAAATTGGCTATATGGCACATGACCAACAATCTCCCACTTGTACTAAAGCAAATTACCCATGTATTTTAATCCTATGACATCAATATATCCATGAACTCATAGTTCATCAGTTTCTCCGTAAATCGACAAGTTTCCTTACTTATTTTCTTTTAAATACTTAAGGGAAAATTATTATTTAGTCCCTCAGGTTTTACATAATTATCCAACTAATCTCAAGTTTTGCGTAAATATCTAAATAGTCCCTCAGGTTTAACTCCGTCTAATTAAAAGGTCATTCCGTCTGAAAAGTTGGTTTTTTTCCGTTAATTGAAGACTAAAAGACTGACATACAACTCTCAGACATCATTGGCTAAAATATGACAAATTTTGTTTCCCTGTGGAAGAAGGCGGTCTTGGTCTCCGATCACTATCCTCTCTCCAAGAAGCATATTCTATTAAACTGTGGTGGAGATATTGCGAAGGAAAATCGTTATGGGCAATGCTACTACGGAAGAAATATTATAGAAGAGATCAAATGAATTTTAAAACCACTGATTCTTGTACCTGGAAAAGAATTTGTCGGATTCAACCAACAGCTAATACCTTAATTTCTATTGAGGAAGATGGCCCCAGTTGGATTGCAAACGACAGGGAGAACTTCAGTCTAAAATTAGCATATGATTTTGTGAGACTAAAGAAATCAGCCACTCTCTCTTACCGTTCGATCTGGGATCCAAATATTCCTACTAAAATCTCAATCTTCACATGGAAAGTCTTGCAAAGGGCTATACCTCTTCCATCTCGAAATCCATAACTTATTCTCACAAGTTCTTTACTTTTCCGCTGTATTTAGAATTCTAGATTTTGTTTTTAAAAATCTAAAATTATTTTTTGAAAACCCAATTCACCCTGATTTGGAAATTCTTTCGTGATTCAATCTGCACTAAACCGTTAGCAGCAAATTCCCTTCGGCAGGAACTAATCTCATGGTGGATTCTTTATGCTCCTAAATCATCACCAGGTATAATAATGAGATTTATCTCCCAAATTATTCTCTACTCAATTTGGTCAGCATACTACTGCTGTCTCACATGGGGCGAAGGAGGTGGTTTTCATATATCCCCAATTGCTTGAACAGATTCGTACCACGATCTATAAATGGGGAGTAGCTGCACTCTGAATCCAAATTTGCCAAACCCATTTTCTTTTATTTTCAAGATTACCTTTGCCTGGGAAAAAAATTTTTTTTTTTTTCTTCGGCAATAAATTGAAAAATTTAAGCTGGTATCTTGGAAAAACCACAAGCTGGTTTTACAAGCTCAACGTTGATGCTTCATACGTCTTCTTCTTCTTCCGCAGGAGGAGCCCATTAATTCGAGATCTTAGGGTAGCCTCAATTGCCGCATACTGTTCCCAATTTCTCATGCAGAGGACTTCTACAGACGCTGAAATAAATTCCTTATTTTTCAGTTCTCAAATGGTGTCAAGCTTAAACACCTTTCCCCTTATTATAAGAGAGTGACTCAAAACTACCAATCGACTTCATTCACTTCCTCCAACTTCAGCTAGACGCCTCGGTTTTGTCATTCAGATCAAGAATTTAGGTCTCGGATTCAATGTCCTTTTCTGCCACATCTATCGTGAGGGAATTCAAGCAGCTAATTTCTTGGCCTCGTATTCAGCAGATTGTACTCAATTTAAATTGTTTTTTACTACTATACCCATCCTTGATCTCAATTTCATAATTAAAAATATTTTTAACAAACCATTTATGTATACTTTGAGGAGTATACTGGATTTTTGGCAAATCCACCGCCATCAACGGATTTGATAAGTCTTTACTGTCTACCGTTTGAGACAGTAAAGACTTACGCCCTGGGTATAGTAATAACATACACAAACACAAACTTAATATATATATATATATATATAGCTACTATAATAAAGGTAAGTGTATTATTCTACATATTGAATTTATTGAAAAAAATTCGGCAGCATTTCGGCACAACGCAATCAAATCTCAAATACAAAGACACTTCAATAAACACTTCTATAACATATCAACATTCTCCAAAGGCAAAATGGCCACTACTAGGCCTCCAATCCAAACTCATCATTCATTTAATAAAAAACATTGTTTTAAGAATAATAACGAACTGTATCAAACCTAACCTAACTTCACCCAAGAATAAACCCTAATCTAGTTAACTTAGGGTATGACAAAATTAAAATGTATGCCATAGTAGGATAAGTTTAGTTATAGCTTAAATGCGAAATTTCCTGGTGATCGAAACAATGAAAATAGGAAAATTTTTATTTAAAATAAAGGTATCTTTTTACTACATGAGAAAAATTTTCAAATTGTTATTCAAATTGTTATTAGTTTGGTTTATAGATGGATCCATAGACTCAATTTAGATAAATATAATTTACGATTCCAGTAGCATTTTTGCACGTACTTTTTATATATATAGACGACAGATTATATTTTTCAAATTTATTCGACGGTTGTTATGATAGAGACGAGGGAGGCCACCAATAAATTTCCAAACAGTCATAGAAAGCATAGATTGAATTGGCCATGCCACATCACCATAAAAACCCAATTAGCATCAAGCTAAAAGCTATAGACCAACAAATTTCTGTGCAAGGGGTCCTCCTCCCATTACAAGTGGCTTCCCTTTTCACCTTCCATGTTTGAGATATATATAGTGCAGCAATAAGATTTAAAACGTACTTTAGACTTCAACATCTCATTACACAATTGACAAAGATCATAACATCAACAAAATTATCAATTTATCTTCATTAAATACTTGTGAAGAACGAAATAGAACAAATAATAAGCATATGCAAAATATATAAACGATAAACCTTCTTCCATTTCAAGTTTTATAATCGAAGTCCGATAAAATGAAACGTAACATTTCAATGAGTAAGAACCAATATCAAATAATCCTTCTAATCAAATTGATGTCAAAATATAATCTCAACATAAATTTTCATAAGTAACCTCATTTGTTCTTCGAAATTCGAAAAACAAAGCTCAAAGAATAATTACATTTATTAATATAACTTTATTTCAGTAATTTTTTTTTAAAAAAAAAAAATTGTAAATTGTTCATCTAACCTATTGAGTATTGACTATATTCCACCATTTTGACCTTTTGCTTGATACATTTATCGAAGCCCAACCCAAAAACCATGGAAGTTAAAGCCAGGTTTTCCGTGGATCCAATCCATTAGCCATCAATGAAATCCAAAACTCCATCTTATCCTGAGCGTGAGGATGACCTTTTGCAGTAGTATCTCCTACACGTTATAATCCTGACTTCGCTGCCCCACACCCCAAAACCTTATCTACTAATCACTCTCCTGCAATCTCCATCGCTCTCTCTCAAGCACACACTTTTCTTCACTTCTTGCTACATTCTGATGTTATATATATCTTTGCTATCTACTTAAATTTTCTGTTTAGTAATTTCAGTTATGGCAGCTATAATACCCTGCCACTGCTGTTCTTCTCTCGCTAACTCCAAATTTACAGTCCGATCTAGAAACCAATTTCGCTGGGCAAACACTTTGCATAGCAATGTTGCTTGGTGGGCTAGGCGACCAGGATCCGGATGCTCTATTAAGAACTTCAATCAACCTCAGTTTCATAATAAAGAGGTGAGCTTTTTTTTTCAAATGTAATTCTGCTCGTTTTTGCTCTAATTTCGGTTAATTGTTCTGCATTTCAGATTTTATTCTTAAATTTTATTGTGCACAGTTTAATTGGGTGGTGATAGTTGATGGGTATCATTTTTTTTTTTTCTGATATGGACAGCTTTTAATTAGCTTTACTTGATATTGTTTTGGTACTTTAATTCAATCGGACTTTATTGGATTTGGGGATTTGCAATTAATTTGCAGAAATTAGATTTTCTTGTTTTCATGCTGTTTTTCTTCAAGTTTTGTGTTTTATTGGTTGAGCATTGATAATGAATTTTTTTTTTTACCAGAAAGGAAAGTCATTTTCGTTAAAGGAATGTGCAATTTCTCTTGCTTTGGCGGCTGGGTTGATAGCCGGGGTTCCTTCATTGGATTGCTCTAGTAACGCATATGCAGCTACTCCTGCATTGCCTGATCTTTCTGTTTTAATATCTGGACCTCCAATTAAGGACCCAGGAGCATTATTAAGGTATGCTCTTCCAATTGATAATAAAGCTATTAGGGAAGTGCAAAAACCACTTGAGGATATCACAGAGAGTCTCAAGATCGCTGGAGTCAAAGCACTTGATTCCGTGGAGCGAGTAAGATGCCTCATTCCTTTTGGTATTGATAGCATTATAACAAGATATGGTGGATTAGTGCTAATTTGCCAATAATCTTTGTTTGCAATGCAGAATGTTAGGCAGGCATCTCGATCTCTTAAGCAGGGGAAGAGTTTGATTATAGCAGGCTTGGCTGAATCAAAAAAGGACCATGGAGTTGAACTGCTTGACAAGCTAGAAGCTGGAATGGATGAGCTTCAACAGATTGTTGAGGATAGGAACAGAGATGCAGTTGCACCAAAACAGAAAGAGCTGCTTAATTATGTCGGAGGGTACGAACTGCATTACAATCATTACTAATGGCATGATGAGGATTCGTCTTCTTGAAATCATGAGTACTTTAAAACAGAAAAAAAGGGATAAAAAAACATCAAGAACCTAAAGTTTTATAAACAACTCGAAAGGGCAATGGCCAATCCAGATGCATGTTTAAAGTCGAACAGCCATCTAGTTTAGAAAGCCAAAAAAATAGTTATACTATGTGACATAGATTTTCTAAATGTAATGCTGTTGAATCTGATCTCAACCGATGTCTACAATGAAGTTTTGTGGAAGTTTCAAGTTTAAATTCATTATAACTTTGAAGAATACATGTTCTGAAGTTAAAGATTTTTATACATTATGTTGTAAGTTGATCATGCTACCAAGCATTTTCACAGTGAGATTCAAGGGAATAATCTCATGAATTTAACATCTCTGAGCTTTTGCTTATTGGCATATTTTCTCATACCTTGTAATTGAAAACCTATATCTTAATTTTAAGTGATAAAATAAACTCAGCCATTTTTTTTTCTAATTCAATTTATCATCATTGGACGATGCATGAAGCACACTTTTATCCTATAAGAGTTTCTTCCCATCTATGTATAGAGGACTATCATTGGTCATGGTTTGGTTTTCCAAATTTAATGAGATATTTACCTTGATAAATATGAGATAGAATGAGCCCATCATGGGAGGTAGATGGTATTATGGTATCATACTTCTTTTATAACTATCCCCTAACTGTCACAAGAGAAAATTGAGGACTTGGAATAGTTAATCCTCTTAAGATAAACTATTCTCATATATACCCTTGTCATTGACTGCAGCTGAGATCTTCCTGGGGCATTGGATTTCTGCAGTGTTGAAGAGGACATGGTAGATGGGTTCCCTTATGAAATCCCAGAAGAATACAGAAGTATGCCTACATTGAAGGGGAGAGCAGCTGTGGACATGAAGGTCAAGGTTAAAGACAATCCCAATTTAGATGAATGTGTGTTCCACATTGTTCTAGATGGCTACAATGCTCCAATAACTGCTGGGAATTTTCTAGATTTGGTGGAACGGCACTTCTATGATGGCTTGGAAATCCAGAGAGGTAAAATCATTAAAAGCACGTAATATGATCCTTCTTTGCATCTGTAACACTCTCCTTGCTCCCTCCCTCTCCCTCTAATTGTTTGAGGGAAAAATAGCAATCAACCTGACTATGTTGCTCTCTGGTATGATTCTTATGTTTTATTTGACTAATATGATCCAATTAATTGCAGCGGATGGCTTTGTTGTTCAAACTGGAGATCCTGCAGGTCCTGCAGAGGGTTTTATTGATCCTAGTACAGAGAAAACTCGGACAATACCATTAGAAATCATGGTGAATGGGGAGAAAGCACCTTTCTATGGAGCAACGCTGGAAGTAAGCTCCTCTCTGTCTCATCTCATGTGCTTTTTACATTAAACATAGATGATGGTCAAAAAGCAGGGTATGGCTTCAATGTTTTGTCATCTCTGCTTAAAGTGCTTTAGGCACTTATTTCCATAACTTCATGTTTTATGTAATGGTACTTGAAATGACTATTCAAATACATAATTTATGGACCAAATCATCAGAAAAGTGGCTTCGATGACACATTGATAATGGTATTAAAGCTCTCTCAGGAGGTTGAATTTCAAGCTGCAAATTGCATTATATGAAAATTCAAGTATATTTAGTCGTAGTCATAGCTTCTGCATTTGTGTGATGTGCCTGAAGCCCCTTCTATGGAGTGACTATTATTCATGTTGGATTTTTCTCCTTGAAATGGAAAATTTAGAAATGCATTGTGAAATTCCTTTTTTTTTTTTTTTTTTTTTTATTTTGATGAATATAGAAATTTAAAAATATAGAGCTCTCATCATAAGGTTGAATTTTCAAGCTGCAATTGGCATTAAAGAATAATGAAAAATTCTACAAGTATATGTTAGTCGTAGTCATAGCTTCCCTGCATTTGTGTGATGTGGCCTATTGACAGCCTCCTTCTAATGCGAGTGACTTATTGATTCTCATCGCGTTGGAATTTTTTCTCCTTGTAATTTAGGAAGAAAATATTTTAGAAATGCATTGTGAAATTCACTTTTCTTTTTTTAAAAAATAGCCTTCATTTTGTCATTTCTTTGTTTTTGCTCACATTCTTCAACAATTCACAAATATTTTCTCTCATCACATATTTGAGTACTACGGCCTTGCTGCATAGTCCACTTTTGTTATATCATTATAATAATATCTTTTTTTTTTTTTTTTTTTTGCTTCTTCACAATTCACACTATTTTCCCTCAGGAGGCCGGCCTTCCGCAGTCCTTTTGTATCTTTATATAATACTGCTAAAGCCCATGTTCTTTTGGATTTCTGATTTTACTTATCTTGCTACTTGACAGGAGCTTGGTTTATATAAGGCTCAGACAAAGCTTCCATTCAATGCATTTGGAACAATGGCCATGGCCAGAGAGGTGAGAGTTCAAATTTGATTGCTGCTTATCTTTCTCTTTTTCTCTGTCTGTATGTGTTAAGATGGTGATTCCATTATATTGAAGCTTATATAAATTGCCTTTTCTTAAAAATTTCTTTTTCGTTTTTAACAGGAATTTGAGAACAACTCAGCTTCAAGCCAGGTATTTTGGCTATTGAAAGAGAGTGAACTGACTCCCAGCAATGCAAATATATTGGATGGCCGGTATGCTGTTTTTGGTTATATAACTGAAAATGAGGATTATTTGGCTGATCTTAAGGTTGGTGATGTCATAGAGTCAATGCAAGTGGTTTCTGGCCTGGATAATTTAGTTAATCCAAGTTATAAGATTGCAGGCTAGGCCTCTGACACATTTTCGGTAAGTATATCATGAATGAATGAGAGTTAGTTGACCTTTTCCAGCAAATTTGGTGATATGAAGGTACAATACTGCTGTATGTTAGGCAGTTTCCGAACTTGCCATTTGTTTTTTATTCAATTATATCCTTTCATTTTGGAAACGTCTTGGTGTAAGTTAAGAATGTATTTCTTGAATGGAGCCAACTCCTTCATTGATTCATTTCATATTACAAGCATTCTCAGTTTTTTCATGGAAGGCTATTTTCATTTTTTTTTTTATCAAAAATTTATAGCAAAAATAATACATTTTAGACGAAAGAATTAAATAATTTAGCAGATATATAGTGTAAGTATGTGTTAATGAATTTACTAAAGAGCAAGAATAAAAGATTAATTAGAGTCAAATTTCAGAAACTATATAGTAATTCTCTTTAAAAATATTCAAACACTAATTTTGATTTAAAATTTTAATGAGAATGGGATTGAGTGGAACATGGGTAAATGCAGATTTTCTAAAATAAATTTTAAGCATCGAGTTCAGTATTTGTGTCGAATTTCTTTTAACAGTGAGTTTTGTGGTGTTGAATTTAGAGCTGTCTTTTCAAAGTTGCGTTTGCCGAACATATCAAATGGATTCAGTTCAATTACAAGATCATTCTATACTTCTCCAATGTCTTCCCTAAATCAATGGTAAATTCTGAAAGGAGCCTCAATTTGCCCCTCTCAACTTGCCCTTCTCAACTTTTTGTACAATTATTACTCCAGTTCTGTGCGAAATAATAATAAAAAATAAACAATATTAATATTAATATTAATATTAATTATTAGATAATAGAGACAATTTTCTGTTAAAAAAACATTATCATTTTACTTTTATTCTAATATTTGGCCTTTTTGCTCATATGGTGCAAAATTGTTGGAGAGACAACTGCATAAAAATTGATTGTTATATAGTCAAGAAACGACATTTGCCACCACTAGATCATACTGAGTTTATTTGGCACCTGATGATCAAAACAATTTGATATAAAAAAGCTCATCATACAGGAAAAAGAAAAAAAAGTGTATCTGACTCATCCATGCAATGAATGGTCAGTCAAATAAGATTTTGATAACACAGATTTAAAGAAAGAAAGCTTTACAGAAAGCATAATCCCATCAAAGAAACAGTTAAAACTGCAGGGCTCCCTCTAAGTGTATAGCCTCCGCAGTTTACTATAACCTCCCAACAATCTCTTCAATCGAATAAGATGCCTATTGGAACTTCAGAACCAAACTTTCTGATATCCTCAAAACATTTACGGCCCTCGGCACCTGCGGAAACAAAGACAACCTTGTGGCTGATCACCTGGGATCATACCTCCACCCTTGGATGTGTCAATTGCCTCTATCATGGACACAACCTCTTCCATCTCTGGCCGCCTGTCAGGGTTGGCGTCCCAGCATCGCTTCATTACATTTGCAAGGGAGCTTGGGCAACATCGAGGTATTTCTGGCCGCAGATTCTGTTGTTTCATATAAAAGTTTATATTGTTTTTTCTTTTAGCTTATTACTATAGTAATTGGAAGTTTGCTATAATATATTTTTGCAACAAAAAAGAAAAACAGTTGAAAGACTTCATCTACCTGTCGGACAACAGCAGATGTAACTTCTGAGAAGCTGAGGTCTGGATATGGCATGTCACAGCAGTATATCTCCCACAGGCAGATACCAAAACTGTAAACATCGCACTTTCTATTATATGGGCTGCCATTGAGAACCTGTTTCAATTGCAAGTTATTGACAATAAATAGTATGTCCAAAGATGAAGGAAATCGTATAGGAATTAATATAAGAATTTTCATAAACAATCCCAATATATTGATCATCAACCATATAAACACTTGTCTAAAAGCTGACAAAGGACAACTGATCACATTAAAGCTAAGCTTCGAATTGAAAAATTCTGTTAATACAACTGCTTCAAACAATTTATTTTTGTATAACCATTCAAACAAGGTTCTTTTTGAAAGAAAAATAAGTTCCACTGTGAAGACTTTGATTGAACTTGGCCTCTTTTTCCTGTTTGGATTGTAACTTGCAGAAACTGCTATATCAAGACAATGTGAAGCATCAAAGTAATAAAATTAGAACACTTCTAAGTTACATCAAAGGTAGAAGAACCTTAATCAAAACTCCAGTGTTTTTTAGCAATTATAATCCAAGCCTAACAGTTCTTTTGCAACTAGCCAATAAGTGGCAGATACTCTTTGAGCTTTATCAAAATGCATATACCAGAGGTTATGCTTCATAAGTTGCGTACCTCTGGTGCCATGTATCCAAGTGTTCCAGTTTCTCCAGTCATGTCATTAGGATTTGATGCTTCCATGCGAGCAACACCAAAGTCAGCTATTTTCACTGTACGTGTCTTGTCAAGAAGCATGTTTTCTGTTTTAACATCTCTATGGACAATCTTCTTGGAATGGAGATAGCTCAACCTATAAAGAAATCCCAATAGCAGCTTCAATAAACTTGATCTACATTGTATGCCTCAATTGTAAAGGAAAAATGGAAACATTCATGAAAAAATAAGTTAAAATTCACAGATTTGAAGATCACATAAAAGACAGATGGGCAAAGAGAATTTGACCCTCGAGCAAGATCTAGCGCCAGTTGAATAACCACTTTAAAAGCCAGCTTCCTTCTCCTGTTCTTTATTAGGTAAGATTTCAAAGCACCTCCAGGACAATATTCAACAACAACACAACAAACATTACTTGGCATGCCAATATGACCATTGTCGGTTTGTATGTTCAACTCTGATGATCCTATCGTCGCTCCAATGAACTGCCAAGAGAATATGGCATTACTATTAGCGAAGTAGATAAGAACAGGAGCTAAATAATTAAATGCAAGGTAATTCATACTGAGGATCTAAAACATATACTTCTAGAAAAATGAGAAAATGCAACAGAAACACTATTTTGTGATGGAAACCCTATTAAAATTTAGCAGTATTTGATCCTCCAAGTCTTTCAAATTTAAATGTTATTTCACCTTTCAAAATCAAGACTAGTCAAAGGGTTCATTGAAGAGTTCTAGTCATCTCTGTAATCACACCACTAGCACGATAGCTGTCCTACAACAAGTACCTAAACAGGGGAATATTAGATTGCGTGATTCTTTTTTTCTTGAATTAAATGTTAATTTCTCCTTAAAAATTAATCAGTAAAATGTACATTCCATGAAACCAAAAATAATAGAAAAGTTCTGCCTTTAATTATTTCACAGTATTATACAGCTTAAAGGTGACTGCTCACATGCATCTTTTAAAGCTCAAAAAAGGTGCACATCAAAAAAAGTTTTGCTTCTAAAAATTTATATCCTACTTTCAATTTGACTTTTAAACTTGAAACCCTTATTTGGGAAAAAAATATGATATTATCATGCTACAGTATGTCAATTCAACTCCAAAACAGATGAGAGAAGAAGAGTCAACATCAAATTTTACCTTAGTTACATTAGGATGATCAAGCTTATGCCAAACAGCAACTTCTTGTGTAAAAGCTGCTCTAAGTGAAGCTATTTCAGCATCTGACCTGTGACCCTCCTCCCCCCAATCAAGAAGTTTAACTGAGATTGAGAAAGGAACAAAAATTCAATAAACTGCCAAAATTTGAAAAAAAAAGTTGAAATGGACAGGGCCTTAGGATTTAAATTATGAGTTCACATATTTGCAAAAGAAAAAAAGATAACTTAGCTAAGAACAAGCACACTCCATGAGAGGAAATAAAACACATTAGATTATGTTATGCCTAAATGAAATTTCATAGATCATACTTAAAAGAATGCATTTACAGTTCTGTGTAGCAATTAAATTATGGGATCAGGCCCAAACCATAAAATAATTGGCAAGGATTTAGTTAGATGATGAGATAAGCATCCACTTGCAGCTTTAAAGCTAGATAGAGGATGAGTCAATATCAGCTCGAGTGCCTTAACTCTCTAGCGATATTAATTATCTACAGAAAGTGACATGCAAAGATGAAAGGCAACTAATGATAAATCTGGACACAAGAAAGTTGGGACAACCAAAAAAAAAAAAAAAAAAAAAAAATTGAAAACCCTTAATTTGGGAAAAAAAAATAATGATATTAATCAAATGTACAGTATGTCAATTCAACTCCAAAAAACAGATGAGGAAAGAAAAGTCAACATCAAATTTTACCTTTAGTTACAATTTAGGATGACAGCTTCACATGCAAAAAAAACAGACAACCTTCTTTGTGTTAAGAAGCTGCTGCTAAGTGAAGCTATTTCAGCATCATGAACCTGTGGGAAACGCAGCCTTCCCCACTACCAAGGTCCGTCGTTCCGCGCGTCAGTAATACCAGAGAAGGATATCATGTGCATGTGGGGTGAGCGTCCGTAGTTACCTCTCCCCCCAATAGCAAATCCAAGAAAGTTTAACTGAGATTGAGAAAGGAAAAAAAATTCAATAGAACCGCCAAAAATTTGAAAAAAAAAAAGTTTGAAATGGACAGGCGAGGGGCCTTAAGGATTTAAACTTAATGAGTTCAACCATATTTGCAAAAGAAAAAAGTAACTTAGCTTAAAGAACAAGCACACTCCATGAGAGGAAATAAAACACATTAGAGTTATGTTATGCCTAATGAAAATTTCATAGATCCAATGAAACTTATAAAAGAACATGCATTTACAGTTCTGTGTAGCAATTTAAACATTATGGGAGTCATGCCCAACCATAAAATATGGCAAGGATTTAGTTTAGATGATGAGATAAGGCAATCCACTTGCAGGCTTTAAAAAGCTAGATAGAGGATGAGTCGAACTGATCAGCTTCGAGTGCCTTAAACTCTCTAGCGATATTAAATTTATCATACAGAAGAAGATGACATGCAAAGGAATGAAAGGAACCTAATGATAAATCTGGACCACACAAGAAATTGGGACAACCAAAAAAAAAAAAAAAAAAAAAAAAAAAAAAAAAAAAAAAAAAAAAGAGAGAGGATATCTGCCTGCAGCTAACTGTCAACTCATCCAATCTCGTGAAATCACAGATTTTGCAAGGCTAGATCAGTAAGGGTCAATCACTAACTATTTCATGATTATTAAACACAAAAGTAATAATAGCTCAAGAAAAAAAATCTAAAAAAATAATAAAAAAAACTTTTTCCTCTGTTTGGATTGCAGATTTAAGACATGCAATTCAACTAAGCAAAGTGCTTGTGCCTTTCTTAATAGGAAAATTATTTCCTTAATAAATCTCAAATTATCTGAAACTTAACATAAAAGATTTAAATCCCCCCTTTTACCACTTAACACATAAACAGAGAGTCTGAAAACAACAATGTCAAGAAATTACTAAAACAAAAAAAAATAGCCATAACCACAAAAAAGTTCTCTAATTGCTTTCAAGAAACGCAAAACCATTGCGATTTATGGTCTTCAGAAAAAGGCCAAACTATAGCTTATAAACTTGAATTAACAACCATGTTCTACAAAATCAATAGTAACTAATCATAATAAGGTCTAGAAGAGCCAGTGTTACAAACTTCCAACATTTCTGTGTGATATTTCACTGAACATAAGAGGCACAAAAATGGGTTTCCAATCATAACCCAAAAAGACATTGCAATGATTAAAATGTTACATGCATAATCGATGTGTATGAACCCAGATATGAAAAAGAAATTAAAAAAAATAATGAATTTTGAGAACTGGGTAATCTTTTTTGAACAAATTGTTAACTTAAGAAAAACACAAAAAATACCAGAAAGCTAAGTTCTTGCACATACCAGCAACATCTTGGCCATCATAAATGCCACGATGAACAGTGCCAAAAGTGCCACGAGCTATAACACTTTTGATTATAAGCTTAGAAGGGTCAATCTCCCATTCTTGCCTAGTTACAGTGTTATTATTCAAGGTTCTTCGTACTACTACTCCTTCTCCTTCTTCTTCTCCATCTTTCTTGCTCTTGTTTTTCTCCATAGTCCATGCTCTACTTAGATGCCTTTGGAGCTGTTCATCTAAGCTTTTCAGATCTATCTGATCTGCTCTTACATACCCACCTCCACTTTCACTCTTCTCCTTCATTTCTCTTTCTCTCTCTAAAAAAGAGCTGTTTTGCTTTGTTATTGACTGGATAAATCAATGAAAAAGTAACACAAACAAGAGTCTTTCTTTCTTTGCTTATTGGTAGCTGTGTAGATGTTGTAGGTGCAAACGACAAGGACAAAGAGTAACTGCCTGTGGACCTGTGGGTTTTTAGTTTTAGATTTTCAAGTGTTAAGCTGCTGTTTTCCTTCCCCCTTTCCCTTCTCCTTCGAGTCCATCTGTATCTATACTGGCGATTGCGAAGCTGGTGATGCTGATATTACTAATACACAATAATTAATTATTTATCAAAAGTAAAAAATCACTACTACATTTTACCAAAAAAAAAAAAAAAAAAAAAAATTTTATGCAAAGTAAAAAAGTCACCTACTAAACATTTTACAAAAAAAAAAAAAAAAAAAAAAAACTACTCTCAATTTTTATTTTCAACTCTTTAGATTAGTTTGGGGATTTATAAAATTAACACATATAGATATTTTAATAGCAAAATTTTTATATTAAACTATCAATGATTTTGCTATTATTCCCAATTAAACTTTACCTTCTCCTACATATTAGGGTTATGTAAAAAAAAAAAAAAAAAAAAAAAAACTACTCTCAATTTTTATTTTAACTCTTTAGATAGTTGGATTTATAAAATTACACATATAATATTTTAACTAGCAAAATTTTTATATTAAATATCATGATTTGTATATTCCCAATTAAACTCTTACCTCTCCCTACATATAGGTTTAGTAGGAATCGAAGTCAAGAATTCTTTCCATATATTCAAACTGCATTATCAACTGAGCCACAGCTCGTAAGTTAATTAAATATTTATTTGATAGTTGAAAATGTGATTTGTTGTTCCAAAAATTTAGTAATCACATTTTAAATTAATATTTTACATGTGAAAGTTAAAAACATTGAAAGATTTATTGTTACTAGTGTGAAGATGTATGCAATATTATCAAAATCATAATTTTAAAGATACAATTGAAACTCCGAAAATTTTAGAGTGGGACAAATGTTTTTACATAAAATATATAGATAAATCTATGTGTTTTGCCGTTAATTATTACGTATGTGTGTGTGCACGTGCGAGATAGACTCAATATTTTTTAAAACATAAAAATAGATGATGCTAACTAATAAGGAAAATGCTTAAATTCATCTATATATTTTTTATAATAAGGCTCGTGGAACTCTTAATTTTTATTTTAGCATATTTTTAACACTTAAATTTATAAAATTGCATATATTAAATACTTCAACCTGTAAAATTATTTTACTAAATGGTTCAACTTATAAATTAAATTGATTAAACACTTTGAATAGTTAAAAAATGCCATAGATATTGTTTCAAAGTTGTACTACAATACATTAAATTTATATTTTATATATGAAAACTAAAAGCCTTAAAAACCATGTTGTAATGGAGAAATGTAGAATGTTATCAAATTTGTAATTTTTAGAGCATATGGGGATGGAAACAAAATGCATATTTATATTTTAATCTGTTTAGCGAAGATACGGATAACAATGAGAAGGTGAAAACTAAAAGGTGATAATTATTGTTTCAAAAATGTACTACTATACATTAAATCAATAAGTTACATATGAAAAGCCTTAAAAATCATGTTGGGTGGAGAAGTATAAAATGTTATCAAATTTTATAACTTTAGGAGCATAGATGGAAGAAGGATTCGTATTTTAAGATGCCTACCCTATTCTGATCCATTTAATAAAGATACGAGTAGTTATCAACGGGAATGGGAAGGATACAAGTTATGAAATTACTATCCGTTCTAAGTATAGGTTTTTAAACTCTTTACTTATTACTTTTTATATTAAACAGTTTGGTCATAGATACTCTATCTCTACTAATAGGAAAAATATATTTTAAATAAATTTGGGTAAGATTATAGATATTATATCCATTTAAAGTTTACTTTAAACAGGTATAGAACGAATGCGTGTAGCAAAATTCTCAACATATTTGGATAGAGATACTTTTTCTTTGAAGAAATCAAACTAAAAATTTCATTAGTAGGAAATTATATACAGATGTAGGGTATAGATTAATATGTTTTTTATATTTTTATGCAAGAAGTCTAATAATAAATCACTTATACAACGAATAAAAAAAACACAATCTTGATTTGAAGTATCTAATTAAGTTAATAGAGTATAATATTTGTGTCACAGACGATCACTTGTTCCACTTCTTCATGGTCTTTCTACAAGTGTGATCTAATGATCTCAAATTTCTTCCTTCTATTAGAGAGGAGATATGCAATTCTTTCTGCATAACTATCCAAATAATAAAATTCCTAAATAAAATCATCATAATCACCATGATTGTAATAACAATAATCCAAAACTAGATCTAAGAACAAAATTACAAGATATGAGCAACAATAATGATTGGGCAATAATAACTCAAATCTATATCAAAATATACACATCTGAAGATTATTTAAAACAAAAAAAAAATAAACAAAAAAAAAAAGGAAAGGATAACCACTGGCAAGCTCCCATCGATAGCCACTCGTGGAAAAAGAAAAAAGAACTTTGAAATTTTGAGAGAAAGAGATAAGATTGACTTTATTTCTTTTACACCAATTGAATAGGGATACCTAAACGAACGCGGATAACAAAATTCTATACAAGTATGCATATGGATAGTTTAGAATTAGGGGTTATTCAATTAATGAGAATGAATTCTGTTATATTAAGGAAAATTATATAAATCTAAATAGGCCTAATTTAAATTTCATATGGATTAAAATATATAATTAATATAGTTAATCATAATTTTCATTAATTTTTTTCTTTATATGTCCTTACTTTTTTTTTTTGGCTAAATTAAGGATATTAAAAACTTACATTTTAATTAGTTATTTTGGTACTCTTTCGATAGTATTTCAAGAGTTGTAATGACTACAAATCATATAAAAATTAAAATTTTAAAAAATATATAATATTATAACTTTAAAAATACAATATAAATATCCCTAAAAAACTTTAAGTACTACAGTAAATATTTATATATTTGACGGTAAAATAGTAGTTGTGGTAATATCATAATAGCTCTGGAAGAGGAAGTCATAAAACAAAATGAGGAATGGGCATGAAATGTGGCACATGGATTTTGCCTGAACAAGACGTCTATCACTCAAATCCTACCGCCTTAAATAATAGGTGGATGAAAACTCCAGTCTCTTCTCTCTCTAATTTTCTAAATTCTAGTTTTAGTCTGCAGCTATCGTTATTTATCGTTATTTAACGAATCTAAATTCTTATCTCTTATTTTTTTAATATCTTTTTCATTTTACCTTCTTTTACTTTAATAAATTTATATCTGTTTTTTTTATAATAAACCTCTTAAATTTTAATATCTTTTTCATTTCACTTTCTTTTACTTTAATAAATTTAGATTCATTTTTTCTATAATATATTTGTCTTTTTGTTTTGTTATTGTTTGTTGTCTCCATATTTGGAGTTTTTTTTTTTTTGTTCCTTCTTTGTGAGGGAAGTCCCTTCTTTGTGATTTAGTACTAAACAAAATTATGATATTTGAATTTATTTGATTTGAGACATTAGATTTTGGTTTGTAGGTGTGGATTTCGATCGATAGAGTTTGATAATACAGCTTATTCCTCTATTGATGCTATTAATGCATAGCGACGGAAACTCATCTGTATTCGTCATATGTTGCAAATTATTAGAAAAATAATAATTATAGAAGATCCAGATGAGTTATTATTTTTACGTTCAAATCAATTAAAGGACTAGTTGCTGCTGTGAAAATTTATATCTTTTGTCAATATTAACTCCAAGCTGAAAGATCTAATATTATATCTTTTTTTAATTTTAATTTCATTCAAAATAATATGAATTCTATTAGCTACTAATATTAAAGTTCTAAGTTATATATCTGGTGTATAAGCTTGTTTGTAATTTTTGATATTATTATTAATAAATTATATTTATAAAAAATTTAAAAATAAAAAAATGAAACAAAAGCTTCTTCCTTTAGTTTATTAGTCGGACCAACAATATTTTTTCTGTCTTTCTTATTTTATGATATACACGGTCAATGTACATTTTGTTTAATAACATTATTATTTATCTTTCTCTTTCATCCATTTCATTTTATTTAAAAAATTAATTTTTTAATTTTACCCTTATTAAGTCAATTTTAATTATTAATAAAGAGTAATTTAATCATTTATAATTATATTTTTTAATTCTTCTATTTTTCAATGATGCTTATAATATCATAAAGATAATATGTTAATTGTATAATTGCTAAATATATATATTGTGTGTGTGCACAATTTATTAAATTCTTTTCATATATAAAGTAAAATTCAATTGAATTTTTTATAATACATTAATCTTATAATGTAAATATTAAAGAAATTAGTCGATGAGGCTATGTCTATTTGACTAGATCCTAATTCTCTTAGAGATGACTTTCTTGTACCAACATCTAGTGGTATAGTTCGAGTAGATATTCGATCGGTTCAATCGGAACCTAAATAATTTAAGTTGAACAAAATGAATTTTACTAAATCAAAATTCTATTCAAAATTAAATCGAAATAAATTGATTTAATTTAAATAATTTTTTAATTTTTTAATTTTTCTTAGGTTTTTTAAGATTCTTTAAAATTAAACCTTATCAAAAATTTTTGATTTTTTTTATAAAATTGTATCCTTTTTTTTTTCCTTTATTATGTGACTGTGAAACTTATTTTCTAATGAACTTTAGAATATATTTCACTGCTCAATTTGCTATTATCGAACAAGTATTAATCAATAATGTGAAGCTTGAAGTTTTCTCCAAGTTTCATTTTTATGGACTATGACTACATACATAAATTTTATCCCATCAATTATTATTTGGTTAGATGGGTAATATACCTCATATTATATATTATTAATTATTTACAGTAATTAATTTATTCAATAAAAATTATATTATCATATAATTTCCTGTGGCATAAATGATGAATATGACGCAGAACCCCATCATTAAGTACAAAATGGTATTCTTTTACATTCATCTACTCTAAAACAAACATTTAATCATAAAAAATAATAATACACAAAATTAGTAAAAGCTGAAACCCTTTGACTTATCACTTAGATAATAATTATTAAAATTATTTTAAGCCTCTTTTAAAATTATCAATTCACAATATTACATCCATTTTTAGCATGTAAAAATTTCATAAC